CCAGACCATAAATGACCAGGCAATGGTTCTGCAATTACAAATCAACTTTGTACCAGCAGGTTTAGAACTTCTGGAAATATGCTCGAAACATAACCTCATATTCTCTTTTATAAAAGCTACCCTTATTCAAGAAACCTAACAGAGCCTAACTGACGATGTGGAAAGAAGTGATTTTTCATTATATCCTTCACAGGGCTGGGCTCCATTCAGACACTCAGTAAATATTTGCTTGCCCACAGGCAGAATGAGCAATGACCCAAACAATTAAAAAGCATAGTTACATACAATCTAATAATTACTAAATACCTGTCTCAATTCATTAAGCTGTTCAGGCCAAGTTGACAAATGTGCATTGTAAGTCTACTCTCGTAACTTAGAAAAACAAACCCAATATATTCTTGAATGAAAAAATACAAACCATAAAACAGTATGTACAATATAATAAAGTTTTTAAGTGGGTGTACATACACACAGAAAAAATTTTAAGTTTATGTGCTCCAAGTGTTAACAGTAGTATCTCTCTGCATAATGATTTACTACTTCTCTTTCTACTACCAGATTTGTCTACAATAAACAAAAAAGAATGAGAAATAAAACATACTTCCCCAGACTATGTAAAATCACATTTTTTTTGGTGACACATTACTAAACATTTTTTTTGTTTAGTAATTAATAGGTGTCTCCAGCAGGATCCAAACTGCAACAATTGTTTAAAATTACAGCTTTGAAGGGCTGCTGAGTATCAGTATGTAGAACTAAAGAAATTTTGCTTGAACATCTAGTATCTTTAACTCATAATGTTTTTCAAGGCACAAAAAATTGACATTCTTTAAAGTCACTATGATGCAAAACACACCTTCAGTGTTTAAAAAAATGCTAGAGGTACTACAATGGACAAATAAGATTTTTTTCCTCTAAATTAAAATAGACAAATCCTAATTGCTTAAGGAAGCATATAGAAAATTGAAAAGAACTTCTTTAGGAGAACTTCATACAGTTAAACTCTCTGCAAACCACAGTTTCATCTACGTCAATATGCAACATTTTGAAACCACACGAAAGGAAAAGAAATTTTTAGTACGACAGCAGTCCTGCTATAGCAGCTCAAGCTTCTCTGAAGACTCGGACAGAGGCCCCTGAGGCTCACAGAATATACACTCAGGTATGTCTTTTTAAATACTTAATATATTCAAGTGTCTTTCCTTGGAAAGGAAATCTATGATTTTCTGTGCTTAAACCAAATAAGTTGGAAATGTCAATATGTAGTAAGGTTGCTGTGTAAGAGGACACCCAGTATTAAACTCCAGATTCTCACTGTAACCTACACTAGAATTGTCTTCTACCTGAAGAACCCACCAATTTTCAAAAAGACAGCTTAATTAATGCAAGACTAAATACTTACTTATAGGTGAGCATAACTATTCAGTAAATTTTACAACTGGATGAAGAAAGGCCACGTTGGTCTTCACAAAAAGGCACAACAATTCTTAAAATGACTTCCCTCTGTATTTGTTATAGTAAATAATTTCGAGAAAATTCCATTGTGACTGCCATAAAAAAAAAATCTAATGAGTTTATTTTCTAAGCAAAAGGCACTTGGATCCAAACAAAGGAAACACCTGAAATCTTTTCTTGATTTTGCTGGAGTACCTCTGGACACCTCAAATTTCCACTGGCTAATAAGTGGTTGACAAAATATTTATTTAGCATTTAGTTTTCAAATTCATGCTAGAGAACACAGGTGTTATTACAGTACAATTTAACCTCTAACTGACATAACCAAAAATTTCAAATGAAGAGATGTGGTTTTTGTTGCAACCTAGACTGAGGTTCATGAAAAGTAACTGCGAGGCACTACATGATCGCAAGCATTATCGAATAAATAGATACACTGTGATTATTTTTAAATATATTAACCATGGGTGTATATGGTCAGTACTAGTTACAAAGAATATTAATTGATCAAAACAATCATTCCCTAATCCTTCTGTTTACCTACATTCTTCTATAAAATACGGCTTTATAGAATAATTGTATGAGCAATGGGGGCATTTGAAAAAGCTCATTATTATGTTACTCTTACGTCACATTTGAAATACAAGAACATAATCCAAAATCCTACCATCTTATAAAGGAACAATGAGGAAAGTTGGGAGACAAGGATTAATTTACACCAACATTAGCCTGTGACCCAGAGAAGAACAGGGCGCTCTGGATGCTGTGGTACAAATAAATGGTTAGTATGAAAAATCAGAATCAGAATCGTAAAGAAATCAGCGAAGCTTGGATTAGACTTTAAACACGGAGAGATTCCTCAAAGCATTTAGAATAGGCAGGACGCAGACATAGGAAGGATAAAGGCAGAAACCCTACAAACTGAACAACGTGGTCAGATCTCAGTTTGTCTTAACCAGCTGTGAAACCTTGGGTAACACCCAAGTGCCAGACCTCAGCTTCCTCAACTGGTCTAGAATTGGACTAGATGCTATCAGTAAAGTTTCCCTTCAGGCTTAGAATTCTATGACCCCCAAATTTTATCACAACCAAAAGTACAAATGCAGGAAGTAACAGTTCACAGAACAGTAGAGGTTCCACGAATCTAAAGTAGAGAGGTGGGAATTAAGACAATGGGAATGGTATGGAGGCACTAGGTCGCGGGAACTTCAAAAGTAAAGGAGGTTAGACTTAAAGGATAGAGCCTACATTTGGTTTTCAAATATATATATTGTGAAATGAAACATCAAAATACATGAAACCTAAACTCCTTTTATTAGTATACAGGAAAAAAATTCAGAATGAAAATTGCTTAGAATATAGTTCCGGCTACATACTAAGTCTTAGTAAATGCTGGCCACTACAGTCATAATAATCCTCATCACCATCATTATACTTGCTAACATTATTATTATTGAGGCAGACTTTTCCAGTGGTTATGAACAGGGCTTCTGAAATCAGATGGTCTGGGCTAGAATCTTGACTCTTTTACCAGCTACATAACCTTCTGCATTACATAACCTTGTTGTGCCTCAGTTTCCTCATATGTAAAACAAGGATGACACCTACATAATAGGAATGATGAAAGGTTTAATAAGTACATGTAAAGCCCACAGCACAGTGCCAGACATGAAGTGCTCAGTTTACTACAGAATGCTGAGTTTAGTACCGAATGACACCATTCATGGGCCCTAACGTCCTATCTCAGGTAAGAGAAAAGGGGAAGGACAGGTACCCTTCCAATGACACCAGCTTAGAAAGATCTATGCGCATCTACCTTAGCAATCCGTCTGCACACTATTTCATCCCAAGCTGCATACAGTGGATCATTAAATAATTACACAAATTAAGATTCAGAAAGGCTTCAGAGATTTTTGGTTTTGTTTTATATTTTTAAAAGTTTGAGTGAATGGGCTTATTTGGCATTCTTAGTCAGCTACCACACTTGCTATTCACTATATTTAAAAAGATATATATCAGTTTTTTTCCTGATAAAACACAAAAATAATCTTGTTAAAAACAAAAGAAAGGTATTTAATATGCTTGAGGAGGGCACGTACAAAGCAGCAGCACCCGAAGGAAGCAACTGCGGCCTTAAGAATGTAAGTCTGACTGGACTAGGTTAAAGGCAGTCAATGAAGCCCAATTAGTGTAGCACGGAGGGAATATCACATTGTGTTGGTCACAGCAGTGCTAATCTAAGGGTGCGCCTCCTGCTTCTGGGCCTGACTGCCTTACAACCCATGGTGAAAGAGAAAGAAAAACACTCATTAACTTTAGATGTTTTGATACTAATGTAACTAAGCTTCTCTTTGAGGGTTGTCATCCATCCTTGCTCTAGAAGTCTTTAAAATACATCCTTTGTGAAATTTCTTAAAATGACTGAGGACACATAAACATCTATGCAAGCACTGTCCAATAGAAATTGAATACAAATCACAAAGCTACTTCAAAATGATCTAGTAGCTGCATTTAAAATAGCAAAAAGAAACAGGGGGAATTAATTTTAATAATATATTTAACCTAATATATCAAAAACTATTTGGACATATGCTCGAGCACGAAAATATTAATGAACTAGTTTAATGATTGTTGTACTATTTCTATAAACTTGTACAATTTTACTACTTGCATTATTTTTAAGAATATTTTGTACTAAATCTTAAAAATCCAGCGTGTACTTTGCATTTACAACACATGTCAAACTGGACTGGCCACATTCCCAGTGTTCAGCAGTCACACCCGGCGACAGCCTACCACAGCAGCCGTCACAGGTGCATTCCATTTTGAAACTAGAGCCAGGAAAAGGGAAGTCGTAAGCATCAATTCTAGGCCAGATTCTAATCCTTCAACTCATCCTGCCAAAAAGAAACATACAATAAATTCTGATTGTGAAAAAACTCTAGCAGGTTAGACAGTAAAAGGCCCTACTTTCGAAATGCTTTTCTTTCAAAGGTTAGTACAATTTTCTGTTAATCCTTACTGTCCCCCTCCGACTAGGCTCCTCCAGCATGAGGAGTTCTATCAGTCTAAGAAAAAAGAAAAAAAACCAGGAGGCCTCAATGGAAGCTCTTTAGCCTCAACCACAACCATACCATTTTACCCTAGTTTCCTCTCTCTAGTTCTCCGAATTGCAGTTTACTCACCTCCTCTGTAAACCAGCTTGCAACCCACTGGTAACAAGACCTTTCAGAATGCAAAAGTGTGACGTCAAAAACATCCCTTCTAGAACCAAACCTACATGGGATTTTCCAAAAATACCAAATCAGACCATGGAAAACCCAGGCTTCCTCATAACATAGATGTTCCCACCAGTCCACATGATCTAGTAAGTTCAATAAAATTTGAAGAACTAGAGAGCTTGTGACTGCAGTATTGTGAGTGCAAGTGATTTTAAAGAAAATAATTTCTAATTTTAATTACTAACCTCCTTTCCCTTCTTTTTTAACAGATTCTTAAAAAAAGGGGCTTTTTTTTGAGAAGAGTCAGCCTTACTTTCCCACAAGATGACAAACAGTTCTATTTTCTGTCCAGTTTACAGAAATCTGCAGCCGTTCACATATTTCTTTTATTTAGTTTTCCTTATTGGAATTATTGGAAGCTGTTTCGCAGCCTGGGCATTCACACAGAAAAACACAAATCATAGATGTGTAAGCATATACCTAATTAATTTGCTGACAGCCGATTTCCTGCTGACTCTGGCATTACCAGTGAAAATTGTTGTTGACTTGGGCATGGCACCCTGGACGCTGAGGATATTCCACTGCCAAGTAACAGCCTGCCTCATCTACATTAATATGTACTTATCAATTATCTTCTTAGCATTTGTCAGCATTGATCGCTGTCTTCAGTTGACCCATACCTGCAAAATTTATCGAATACAAGAACCTGGATTTGCCAAAATGATATCGACTGTTGTGTGGGTAATGGTCCTTCTCATAATGATGCCAAACATGTTGATTCCCATCAAAGACATCAAGGAAAAGCCAAATGTGGGATGCATGGAATTCAAAAGAGAGATTGGAAGAAATTGGCATCTGATGACAAACTTCATATGTATAGCTATATTTTTAAATTTCTCAGTCATCATTTTAATGTCAAACTGCCTTGCAATTCGAGAACTCTACAGAAACAAAGATAATGAAAATTATTCAAATGTGAAAAGAGCCCTCATCAACATACTTTTAGTGACTACAGCCTACATTATATGCTTTGTTCCTTACCACATTGTCCGAATCCCATATACTCTCAGCCAGACCGAAGTCATATCTGACTGCCAGACTAGGAATTCACTCTTCAAGGCCAAGGAGGCAACGCTGCTGCTGGCTGTGTCGAATCTGTGTTTTGACCCCATCTTGTACTATCACCTCTCAAAGGCATTCCGCTTAAAGGTCACTGGGACTTTTGTTTCACATAAGGACAGCAAGGCTCAGAAAGAAAAATCAAGTAATGAAAATGATGTATAAATATGGGATCATGCTATATCTTTATGCTGTAATTTCTTCCCTTCCTGGACAATAACTATAAAACGACTAGGAAGGAGACCCTCCGAATGTGAAGGGAAACAGCTAGCAAATGTGACCTGGTTTACTGTGAAGCCATTTTTAAATGCAAACCAGGCAGTACTTCTTGATTGTTCTTGCTCCTTAAGCCAAATATTTGTACAAAAAAAACTAAAAATTCTTCTTGAACCAATGTAAAACTCGCAATATCCATGAAATCCAAACAACTTCTTTGACAGAAGTATTCATGAGGTATTCATTTAAATACCTGGAACTGACTTCTAGATAAAAAAATATGCAAAATACAGGTGACCAGTAAATAGAGCTTTGAACTGCACAGGTCCACTTACAAATTTTTTTTTCCAATAAAGACATATAGTACTATAAACGCATTTTCTCTTATGATTTTCTCAATAATATTTTCTTTTCTCTAGCTTACTTTATTATAAGAATACAGCGTATAGTGCATCTAACATACAAAATATGGGTTAATCAACTGTTTACGTAATCAGTAAGGTTTCCGGCCAGCAGTGGGCTATTAGTAACTAAGTTTTGGAGGAGTCAAAGTTATATGCAGAATTTTTACTGTGAGAGGGTCGGTGCCCCTAACATCCTCATTGTTCAAGAGACAACCATAAACTCTATATACGTTGCCATAAACCCCTCAGCAACATAATTTAAAGCCCTTTATAGCACTTAAAAAACGAAACAAAAAAAGTCAATTTATTTTTTACATGAAACCACCTGAGCCTGATTTATTTTTAATCCACCACTTCAAAGAAGGTAAACTTTTAGTTCAGTACTCCAATTTTTAACATCTAACTGTTTTCTAACAAAATAACTAAAAACTTTTACTTCCAAAAAGGCCTGGAAATACATGGGTAGTTTTTAAGGTACTGTATAACTTATATTCTCCTTTAAAATTACAAATAAAGATTTCCTACTGTTAGTAATGACAAGTCCAGTGGTTATTTTTATTTTGTAGTCGTATGAAATAGACCCTATAACATTTTCAAGGGGAGTTGTTAAATTTTACTGTTTTCAAACTAGAAACTCACGTTAAAGTTATAGAAAAATAGCACCCGTCAAATGGCCTTAAAATAGACATGCCGACTCCACACAGCCAGGCCCTGTTAGGAACACAGTGGTGCTGGGTTGATCAGTGCTACTCAGACCCTGCAGATGAGCCTGACCCAATATGGGGCCGGAAATTGAAGTCTGGGTGACTGCAGCTCTCGGGGGGTCACACCCTTTGATCTCTTTACTGCCAGTAATGCAGAAAAATTCAACAGATGGCGAAACAAAAGACTTATTTACAGAAAAGAAGATGGGAAAGTTTAAACAAGAATACATAAGATTTTGTGGGTGTTTTCATCTCAATAGGAAAAGCTCATAGTAAAACAACCAGTAACCCATTAACGTTAGCTGCGATGATTAAGAAATGGTGTTCCTGGAAGCTAACAATAAGTTTGATTACAGGCTCATTTTTAGGTCTGCACTGAGAAGAACTATTTTCTAAAGGCTGACCCAAGACAACTCTGTCTACAATTTCATAAATATATTCTCTGAGTTTGAAAAGGATAATAAAAGAGAAAATGGACAAAAAAAGTGCCTATTACACTCACAGCATGGTAAGTACTGAACAAATTCTAAGCAGATAGTGGCAACATCAGGAACCCAATCAGCAACACAGATATGACCCCATCAGGGCACAAATGACTTATCCATGTTGCAGGCTGGTAGAATGCCTATACACTAGAACCTGTACTTGTTGGTTGTCTAAGAATATGTTTCTACTAATGGGCAGATCAATTATTCCTATAAGAGCATACATAAAACCAGTTTATTTTTTCAGAATCTTTTGGTTAAGTCCCCTTTAGTCCTCTGGCCTTGGCCTTCATTCACTAGGGCCTCATCTTCGAGAAAGAGGTGGGGAAAAAAAGAAAAACCTTTTTTAAAAATCATATTCTTGCTCTGACTGGTGTGGCTCAGTTGGTTGGGCCACAAAGCCAAAGGTCGCTGGTTCAATTCCCAACCAGGACACATGTGTGGGTTGCAGGTTTGGTCACCAGTTGAGGTGTGTTCAAAAGATAACCGATAGATGTTTCTCTCTCATATCAATTTTTCTCTCCCTATCTTTCTCCCTCCCTTCCCATCTCTCTAAAAGTAAAAAAATAAAATCTCTTTTACAATATCATACATATATATTCTTATATTCTCCTCACATGCCTGATAAGTTAGTCAAATTTTCCTTTTTCAGTAAGGAAGAGAACCAGAATCTTCAGCATTCCTAGCGTCAATGTTACGTTAGTATCTATGTACTTCTATTTCCCTTTACTATTTGCTTATTCTAAATTACACTCCCATTAATGGGGCTATTAGGGCAAGTGGTGATGGAAGGCTATTAAGTATATCCCACCACATCAATTTCCTAGAAGTTCTTTTTATGATTACAGTGCAGTTGAATTATGTCCCAATTCCTTGTAACACTTAGCCATTAGGAATCATTCATGGTTCTTTTCTTTCCTCCAAGGCAGGACACAGTCTTTAGAACACTAAATGCTGCAAATGGCTGTGTAACTAAGAATCATGTGAACAAAAGAATAAAAAAGTCCCCGCTTGGGTAACATCCTGCTCTGACACCCAGACACATGGAAGAGGGGGCCCTGCAAAACTCTGCTGCTTGCCCAACAGAAGAACACAGAGCCCTCAACCAGTTTCAACCATTTTCATCATTTTGTCATACTTAATTCACTTCCCGTCTCCACATTTTTTTAAATAAATTTTTATTTTGAAGTCATATAAAATTTATTAAAAAGGTACACCTATAGTACAGAGTTCCCACATACCTTTCATCCAAGTTTGCTCTAATGTTAATACCTCATGTAACCATGATACATTTGTCAAAACTGGGAAATTAACATCGATGTATTACTGCTAACTAACCTCTGGACTTTAATTACCCTCCCCTCCCCTTTTTGACTCTATTTTAAAACAAATTCCAGATATCATGATAGTTCTTCCATGAATTCTTCAGGACACATTTTTAATATATCAGGCTACTCTTTCTGCTGCCCTAAATAAACTGTGAGATTATTCCATTATATTAAAATTGAGTGACACAGGTAACAGCTGAAAATGTTGATATATTTAGCCAGTGATAAACAAGAAAGAATTATGACAACTTTGGGCACAGCCCTGGACATAGAAAAATTAGCACCAAAAAAAGTTTCCTAATTAAAATAAGGGAAAAAAAATACATGGGTACAGTGACTTTGAAAGTCACTTCAGAGGAAGTTCCAAAATAACAAAAAAATAAACCAACAAACAAATAAATGTAAAAAAATATTTAGTTTGCAGATCAAAAATCCTCAAAGATATCAAGGAAATAACATAATATACACTTCACAATTACATTTTTTGTTAAAACAATAATAGTCTTCAATGAAAATTACTCATTAAAATTACACAAAATAAAATTCCAAGAAAAATAATAGTGAACCTAAGAATAAAAACATTTACAGATCCTGGCCCAATCTTTACCACTAATACTGAAAACCTAAACTTGTTTCCCTTTAGAATAAAGCGCATCACTCTTTATGACTCAGACACTGAATTTCCTGGCAAGTATTTCCCATGTGCCATCTGGTTCTTAATTTCAACAGGTCAAAATCCAAATCTATCTCACATACAGCCTCTTCTCTGAAGCCCTAACCGAATTCTCAATATTTATTCTCACAGAGTAGAAAAGACCCAAGAATGTCAAATGGTTCACCTTCCAGTGGGCAATTGGGATTTTACTCAATTACTGCACTTACTTCAAAGCTTGTCGTTGTATAGATATTTGTCTCCTATCTTATTCATCTTTCCTGTGCCCCAAAATTCTTATTCATCTGCATAATACCAAAAGTACCTACCAGAATTCAGTGCATATAAACGCCACTCAATAAAGGAGTTTCAAATTGAAGCAGGAATACAAATTTAGACATTATATGCAGTCACTCAAATGCTCATGATAAAAGGATACTAATATAGAAAACTCTGTTAAATCCAGTCAGCCAATAGTATCACACCACAAATTTGGACTATATCAGTACATAAGCTATGCAATCAGAATTATAACAGAAGAAGTAATGAATTCAAGCACTCACCTACTATCTTATGTATAACTCAGGCAAGTAGTTGAATAGTCGGTGGTTACTGAGCCTATAATGAAATAATCAGGTTGTCAACTGATTGAAGCGATGACTTACCAGAGGTATGGGGAAATGTGTTGCATACTGCAGGTGTCGCAGGAGATCATAATTAGATGGGAAAATTAACTCTCTCGGCTTTTCTCGTTTCAGCAACTTCTCCCCATTAACTGACATTCTTCTGCCCAAGGGAGGGTTGGCATTCTCACAGGACTCTCCAGGCATGGGAGAAAAAATCTAAGTCATGTAAAAAAAATGATGGAGAGTGTAAATGAAAGAGAGTGAAGCCAAAACCTAGGGCTGCATACCAGAGCATCAAACAAACAAGACATTCCTACAGGATCTTTTCCTTATTTAACCACTGAGCAAAATATATACAGAAATGTTGTTAATTTCCACAAACTTTGTATTAGATCACCAGGAGGCTGGCACCATCATCCTCCACTTTGAGGATGAAGCGATGACAAACACACACATAAGAAACGTGCACAGCTCTATCTCCTGGAGGACCAGAGATAAAATCAGATTATAGGTCATTGCTTTCCCATTAGAGCTACATTTCCTATAAAAACACAGGAATAATTAACTAATAAAGCTAGTGAATACACAGAAAGGTCTGTACCCTATATAATATTTTCTTATAAAGAGTTACTCATTAATATCCACGAGGAAGAACACATAATTTTAGATAAAGTAAAAGAATGTATAGCAAGTCCAGAGCCAGAAAAGCTTATTATTTAGGAGCTAAACACATACACAGCAAATCAACAT